GATGACATTTTTTATGGATTTTTTGTCAAAGCTTCAGATATTCATTGCTATCGGGATGTTAAGAGCATTCCATGGAATATAACAAAAAAGTGTATCTCGAGCCGGTTATACCCCACCTTTAAGTTTTACTCTCAGTATTGACTGTTTTCTCACTCTCACATCCTTGTCAGTGCACAAATAAAAGCGTAATTAGATTCTTCAAACACACAAATTGATGAAATTAATATTAGGATGCAGCAGTCATTAAACTGGGGGATTATTGTTAAGGCCTTGCCTGGATTCTGACGGATGGAAATCACGGTGTCTGCTGTGTGTTAGTATTCTGAAAGTGCAGTCTCTTTACAGGCTGTTAATTCAATAATGCCACTCACGACATAATGCACAGCAGTCCCTGTTATTTAGTCTCTTGCTGTGTTTGCATTACTCATAAGGCCAGGTGAGAAGTTGTGACATGCATACTTTAGCATACATGATGGCAGCTGTAATTAAAAGACTGACTACACAGTAGAGCTAAATAAAATATACTTTGCCCGCTTGGATTCTTGTCACTCACACGGTGGAGATGTTGCAGCGTGTTAGGACTATTGTTTGTATATTGTACGTGCATGCTAGTTCTTATTAAAGGTCCCCTATTATACTGTTTTTCATCAATATATTATAGGTCTCAGATATATAGAAAACATGTCTCTGAAGTGTTTGGCTCCAAACACCAAACAGATCATTGCAGCATTACCCATAATCCCCTCTGTTTCAGCCCTGTTTCCAAAGTGCTGATTCTCTGTCAGTAGGCTTGTTTGAGACAAGCGAGACCTGCGCAATTGCGATCAACGTCTTGCTAGTGCGTTGCATGATGGTTAGTCATTTTGTCCGACTTGCTCTGGAGGCTCGCCTACACGAGACGTTGAAATCTCGCGTGACAAAGACGCCCGCAGACTTGAGAGCGAGGCGCGGCGCGGCGCCGCAGTTTCTCTCCACGGGCTGCGGAAGCGAAATGCTTGATGGGAAACGACTCGCTGGTATCTCGAGCTGAGCGCTCATTGGTGGGTTTTACCCCGTGCTGGAGATGAAACTCTCCATTGGCTCGGCAAAAGTGTGTTGTTTTGTGTCAGTTTTACGTCGCCACTTCCATTCACATTTTTCATCATTGTTCCACAATGTTTATCATCATTAAATTAATATCTATATATTTGTATACTATACTTGCACTGCTTACCGTTGTCATACTTTATATATCTTTGCATATTCATACAACACACTGTTCATACTAGGCTAGGCTACTGTATATATAGTGTATTCATACCCCTCACTGTTTTTTCATCATTCAATTTATTCTATATTTTATTCTGTAGATTGTGTACATTACTTTTCCCTTTACTGCTTTATGCACTCCTGGTTAGAAGCTAAACTGCATTTCGTTGTCTCAGTACCTGTAATCTGTGCAATAACAATAAAGTTGAATCTAATCTTGAGCAGGAACAAATATATTTACTTAGTACATATCTGACATTAACGATTAAACACATTTGTCCATTCTTTATCAATCAATCAATCAATGTTTATTTATATAGCCCAATATCACAAATGTTACATTAGTCTCAGTGGACTTCACAGTTTGTACAGAATATCAGTATGACAATACGACACCCTCTGTCCTTAGACCCTCACTTCGTACAAGGAAAAACCTCCAGAGAGAAACCCACAGTTTAAAGGGGAAATGGGAGAAACCTCAGGGAGAGCAACAGAGGAGGGATCCCTCTCCCAGGACGGACAGACGTGCAATAGATGCCGTGTGCATTTATAAATGCAAACCGAGTCAAGCCGACTCCGGAGGTGGCAGTATGCACCTTAAAGTTGTTTGAAATCTGCCAAAAAACCGAGAGAAGAAGAAGAAGAAGCCGACTCCGAGCTGTCCGACTTCAGGCGAGCTTTTTGAGACCTCCCCCGGCTGCGATCGGCTATTCTCGTCTACTTTCAAGGCGAGCCGCAGCTCGTCTCAAACAAGCCTAATTAATTTAGATGAAAATAAGGAGCCCCTCCCCACGCCCCTCTGAGAGATATTTGGTTACAAAGAACACAATGGTGCTCTAGGAGGAGATTCAGGTGATAAGGTGGGGGGGGGGGGGTTACCTTGGTTGGTGATTGGCTAATGGTTACACAAGCCAACACATCGTTATGACATCATAAAGTGGCCAAAATCTGATCAGCTCATTTTCAGACAGGTTTTTATAGAAATGGATCAGGACAAAAAGAGAGAGAATCTTTGTTCCTGAAACTTTCAGAGTCTCTTTCCACAGAGGGGACACATGTTGATGTAGAAGAGACATGAAGAAGAGGGGACACATGTTGATGTAGAAGAGACATGAAGAAGAGGGGACACATGTTGATGTAGAAGAGACATGAAGAAGAGGGGACACATGTTGATGTAGAAGAGACATGAAGAAGAGGGGACACATGTTGATGTAGAAGAGACATGAAGAAGAGGGGACACATGTTGATGTAGAAGAGACATGAAGAAGAGGGACATTTGATTAGAATGAGAAGAGGGGACACATGTTGATGTAGAAGAGACATGAAGAAGAGGGGACACATGTTGATGTAGAAGAGACATGAAGAAGAGGGGACACATGTTGATGTAGAAGAGACATGAAGAAGAGGGGACACATGTTGATGTAGAAGAGACATGAAGAAGAGGGGACACATGTTGATGTAGAAGAGACATGAAGAAGAGGGGACACATGTTGATGTAGAAGAGACATGAAGAAGAGGGGACACATGTTGATGTAGAAGAGACATGAAGAAGAGGGGACACATGTTGATGTAGAAGAGACATGAAGAAGAGGGGACACATGTTGATGTAGAAGAGACATGAAGAAGAGGGGACACATGTTGATGTAGAAGAGACATGAAGAAGAGGGGACACATGTTGATGTAGAAGAGACATGAAGAAGAGGGGACACATGTTGATGTAGAAGAGACATGAAGAAGAGGGGACACGTGTTGATGTAGAAGAGACATGAAGAAGAGGGGACACGTGTTGATGTAGAAGAGACATGAAGAAGAGGGGACACATGTTGATGTAGAAGAGACATGAAGAAGAGGGGACACGTGTTGATGTAGAAGAGACATGAAGAAGAGGGGACACGTGTTGATGTAGAAGAGACATGAAGAAGAGGGGACACATGTTGATGTAGAAGAGACATGAAGAAGAGGGGACACATGTTGATGTAGAAGAGACATGAAGAAGAGGGGACACGTGTTGATGTAGAAGAGACATGAAGAAGAGGGGACACATGCTGATGTAGAAGAGACATGAAGAAGAGGGGACACGTGTTGATGTAGAAGAGACATGAAGAAGAGGGGACACATGTTGATGTAGAAGAGACATGAAGAAGAGGGGACACATGTTGATGTAGAAGAGACATGAAGAAGAGGGGACACATGCTGATGTAGAAGAGACATGAAGAAGAGGGGACACGTGTTGATGTAGAAGAGACATGAAGAAGAGGGGACACGTGTTGATGTAGAAGAGACATGAAGAAGAGGGGACACATGTTGATGTAGAAGAGACATGAAGAAGAGGGGACACGTGTTGATGTAGAAGAGACATGAAGAAGAGGGGACACATGCTGATGTAGAAGAGACATGAACAAGTGGATTTTGCATAATAGGTGACCTTTAAGGTATTGTTTTGCTTTGGAAACGTTGAACCTCATTACCTGAAAGAGGATGTTGTGTACTTGCACGATGCAGCATTCGATTCCCACAGATTTAATTAGATTTCCTGCGACTTTGAAATAGATTGAATGTAAAGCGTTTTAATGAAAAGATTCAATTGAACCCTTCACGCTTCACCTCCTAACTGATAATATAGTAAGCCACAGTCTGGCTGATACACAACAATTCTTCTGATGGACTGATGGCGCCCAAACTGGGGGTCAGGAGGACCAAAAATAAAACTAAAAAGGGTCACAAAATAATAAAAGGATACAAAAAAATGTAATATAAATATTGATATATGAATATTTTCGTAGAAGGCCAAAGCCAGGAGTCACTACTTCATTGTAAGGGTACTCTGCTTAAAATCAAAGCAGCAGAATCCGAGATATCCTGATTTGTAATCCTTAGTTTGGTTCCACCAAATTCTGGATCCTACATTTCCAATAATCCTGCCACCCTTAGAATCTTAATGTTACTCGCTATTTCTCTGATAGATTCCTATGCCATTTCCTCCAGTTTGTCATGTAGACTTACCGTTACAAATATGTTAAGTTGAGATTAGTTGTTTTGTAGTAAACAAGAGCTGTGTTTTTATTGAGAAGTACCCGTAATAAAGAGAAAACTGACCTTTTAAAAGTACTAAATAAGGTAGAATGCTCCTTTGCCTCTGGCTGGCAGAGAACTCACTGCTCCATAGTTTGAGTTTCTCCTTCCTAGTAACCATGAACAATCTGCAATTCCCTGCATATCTGTACATTATACTATGCTATGTATATACAAGTATGTCTATGCTCCTGTAGTGTAAGCATATATTCATGTCACTAACTTCAGTATTTTTGACTTTTTTTAAACGTGTTAATCACCCAGAATTGTTATTGTTTATATTTGATATCATATTTGACATTTCATATTTAGTTGTAAATTCTCTGTTCCACTTTTTAAGTATTTTTTATTTTCTGTCTGAACACACTGATGCTTCTTCTGTAAGAAAATAACTTCCCAAATTGGGATCAATAAAGTATTTATCTATCTATCATCTATCTATCTATAATTCATAACATTAATCTGGCTGCTACTTAGAAATTATTTATCTAATATATCATTCCATCACTTGCACTATTTCACTATTTCACTTATTTACTATTTTTCCTTTTGTATTTACTTGCACAATTTTTTTTTTTTTACAGTATGCACGTATGACCAATAAAAGCCTTGAAACCTTGAAACCTTGAATTGGGTGCAATGTAAATAAATGTAAATAACACCTTTCTTCTCACCTGCAGGAGGAGCCAGTCCAGGGCTTTAAGGTCAGCGACTACATGGAGCTGATGGAGGGACTGGAGCAAAGATACAGAAACATCGTCCTCACCGACATGAAAACCATCCGCAACCCTGTGGCGTAGGAGAAGCTTTCTGTGTTACTACAGGACGTTTTTAAAGTGGCTGTTTGACCACTTAAAGTACATTAATGATAGCTTGTTTAAGAGGCAGTAAATACCTGGATGTCTTGTGGTGGAAACTGAAGCTGTGTTTCTCAAAAGTACCTTAAAAGCACATATGCAGTATTAAAGCACAGAGAAAAGACCAACATGCCTAATGTTTATAAAAGTCTCTCTTCACAACAACACTGCAAAGAGAAGTGGGGTCCATAACTCAGGTTTGCTACATAAAGTGAAAGGATGTTTGTTTTCTTAGCTTCTGTTATTGACAACAAATTATGAAAAGACAGAAACCAACGGTATATTCATTTTATTGACGTTCTTCTTTTGCAGTAGAATATAAAATGTGGAAGAATCCGCTGCTGAAAATAGTCCCAAACAAAAGCAGTATTTACTCCTGTTTGAGAAACGTTTCCAAACAACTTCTGCAGCTGTTCAAGGTTATTACTGAACCTGTTTGACCTGTTTGTATGCCAAAGGGTGAGGCTCGAAGAGTATCGAGAGACGAGACTAATTCGTTTTTTGGGATGATCTTTTCATTGGATTTGCATATTGGATACCACCAGCCTAATCCTTTATGGAGTCAAATGTTGAAGAATACATGATTTCTTGCAACAACTTGAACAGATTCTCAGATAAACCTCTAAGTTGTACCTCTAAAAAGCGACTGTACATGATGTAGATATGTGAGCACCATGGAAAACAGTTTGAAAGATCTAACAATTACATCTAGAAAATGTTCTTCTGTATTTATTCTTCCCTGCAATGTAAATATCTCAGACCTTTTGTATGTGTTCTGCGAGATGCTCCTGTTCCAAGTGTTACAATTAAAAATATCGACAAATGAACAGCCTTTTGAATGACACGCTGTGATGGTTTCATGGCTCTGACTCACATCATTAATGCCGGGACACGCCACAATGCAGCGCGGCCTCTGGAGTGTGTGTTCTTACGCAGGTGTGTGTATGAAAGATGCATGAGGACGCCTCTATCATTGTGAAAGAGCCTCATTAGTAACCACAGCCTTTTCTCTCGCTGCACCGCTGTACCTCTTCAGACACACTGAGGCCTGAATAATAAACGAGTGAAACTCATCCATCCACCAGCAGCGAGAACCAGGGGATGTGAGATGGCAAATGTACACACATCGTTTACTCAAGTAGAAGTACAGATACTCGTGTTTGAAAATACTCTGGTAAAAGTAGAACTCAACTTCTTTACTCAAGTAAAAGTAAAGAGGGCTTTGAAATGTACTTCAGTAAAAAGTACCCATAACTAGCAGCTGTTTTAAAGAGTACCTGACCTCCCTTTATATTAATAGAACAATAATGTCATTGTTAGCTAATGAATGTTTCCATGCTGAACAACGGCAACATGACAACGTTTTCATTGGTCCCTCTTCTTTAGAGAAGACCAGGAAATGATGGATACACGGATCGTGTTCAAATCAATAGGCACGCAATGACTCTAAATAATAATGATCACGCCACCAAACACACATTCAAACTAAAGGAACCAGCCTGTTTGGGAAATGAGAGAAGTAGAAAGTACAGGTATTTGTGTTCAACATGTAAGAAGTAGAAAGTACAGGTATTTGGGTTCAACATGTAAGAAGTAGAAAGTACAGGTATTTGTGTTCAACATGTAAGAAGTAGAAAGTACAGGGATTTGTGTTCAAAATGTAAGAAGTAGAAAGTACAGGTATTTGAGTTCAACATGTAAGAAGTAGAAAGTACAGGTATTTGTGTTCAACATGTAAGAAGTAGAAAGTACAGGTATTTGTGTTCAAAATGTAAGAAGTAGAAAGTACAGGTATTTGTGTTCAAAATGTAAGAAGTAGAAAGTACAGGTATTTGTGTTCAACATGTAAGAAGTAGAAAGTACAGGTATTTGTGTTCAAAATGTAAGAAGTAGAAAGTTCAGGTATTTGGGTTCAAAATGTAAGAAGTAGAAAGTACAGGTATTTGGGTTCAAAATGTAAGAAGTAGAAAGTACAGGTATTTGTGTTCAACATGTAAGAAGTAGAAAGTACAGGTATTTGGGTTCAACATGTAAGAAGTAGAAAGTACAGGTATTTGGGTTCAAAATGTAAGAAGTAGAAAGTACAGGTATTTGGGTTCAAAATGTAAGAAGTAGAAAGTACAGGTATTTGGGTTCAAAATGTAAGAAGTAGAAAGTACAGGTATTTGGGTTCAAAATGTAAGAAGTCAAAGTAAAAAGTCGTCAGAAAAAGTCGTAGTGGAGTAAAGTACTGATACCAGATGAATGTACTTAAGTACAGTAACAAAGTATTTGTACTCCACTACTTCCCACCTCTGGGGGAGACTCTGATCAAATGTTTATCATGTCAAAAACAGCACTTTACCACAGGGAGAGTTAAACATTTAGCTCACAATGTATTAAGATTTAGTTTTTAATAACTTCTAGGCAAAACTTCAGATCACACAGTTGACAAATGATAGACTTTCAAACGAATGCCTATTGACAAATTCAGCAGACCTGGCTCAGCACAGCAGTAGCATTCATTTGAAGAAGTGTTCCTGGTGACCTGATGGATGTCCAGTCCAATATTCAATATCAATATGTGTCTCTTTAGATGCTAAATGTTCCACCACGTTCACAAGCTACAGTATTCTCTATCTTCGTCTGCCGTTTAGTGCTGCCCGTTTGATGTCCAGTGGGTTTATCAGAGCCTAATTCGGACAGAAAACCAAAACGACAAACTAAAAGACACTAAAACACTCTGTCAAGAATGTGAAGACCGCCTGTTGTTTGTTACTGTGGTGCCGTTTTAAACCTTGTCTACATTTAATAGCCACCTCTCTGTCGGGGTTGTGGGTTTTGACGCGCCTCTCTTTGTTTCCAAACAAATCGTTGTAGCGTTGAATCAGATGAGCTTTATTAATTGATCCAGACGGCATACGAACAGGAAGACACATTTCCTCGCTTCATAGTAACTAAGTTCTCAGTATCCAAAAAAGAACACGGTCAAAAGACTTTACCGCTTCCCCGTCTCATCACAATCAGCTGTGTCCTATTAACCTACCATATATAGGCATTTAGCCATGCACGTGATACCTGACATGCACAAAAACGTTACTGTCGGTAACACAGGGTTTTTTTATTGGCATGAGTTTGGCGTTCCCGTTATAATAACAGGGATTAGGATTCAATATCGTAGAATGAAGAACACCATCATATGCATAAAATATGCATAAAGAGTTAAACGTTTTTTATGCAGCTTGAGTAGTAGGATAAGATGATTGCAGTCTCTGTATCATCATAGCTCTACATCTCAACCACTGTTAGGCAGATATTCCTTCATGTGAACTATATATATATCCTTTATTTAACCAGGTAAAAGACTCATTGAGATTACAATCTCTTTTCCAAGAGTGACCTGGCCAAGAAGGGCAGCATGAACGAAGTTACAACAGATAAAACACAGACAAGACAGGCAGACAAATACAGCTGTAAAACACAAATAAAATGGCACATTAGCCAGTCAATATGCGAAATAAAACAAACTATTAAAAATAATTAAAGGTGGGGTAGGTAAGTTTGAGAAACCGGCTCGAGATACACTTTTTGTTATATTCCATGGAATGCTCTTAACATCCCGATAGCAATGAATATCTTAAGTGCTTTGACCAAAAATCCAAAAAAAATATCATCTGTGGAAGCTGTAGTACTGTAAAAAGCACGACCAATCATCTGAGCCGGCCCGGCTAAAATAACTGGATGGCCTACCTGCCTGTCAGTCTTCCATCTGTGCACAAACTTATCTCGTGCCCTCATTGGTCATGTGCGCGTTCGTGTGTGTTGGAGGAGGGGCTCTGTAAGGAAGTGGCAGATTTTTTCCGGCTGTGTATTTTCAAATTTGAGCGAACTCGAGCTGGTTTCTCCAACATTACCTACCCCACATTTAAAAACTAGCAAAATTTAAAACGATTTTTGGATATACGAGCACTCACATCTACCAATGGTGTCGTGTTCTCTGTCCTTTAAGATGGACCTGAATTCCCCCATAGTGATTACATCTGAGAGTTTCAGCTCCTTCTGTACCAAGCTGTGGGGGCAGCATATTTAAAAGCTGTTTCACCCAGTTTTGTTCTCACTGTAGGAACCAGCATCTGAATAACATCTTGGGAGCGCAGGCCACATAGACTTTCTCTTTGACACATATATGTGCAAATGTAGGAGGGAACCAATCCAAGCAGAGATTTATAAATAAAACCCAACCAATGGGAAAGTCTATAGAAGCATATAAAGTGCAATGGTGTACTCGATATCCACATCCAGTAATAAAACGTAAAGCACAATGGTACACAGTATCCAAGCTCTTTAGGCACTGGTCAGAGGCATTCATGTATAGCAGATCACCATCATCTAATACAGGCAAAAACGTTGCAGGTATCAAATGTTTCCTTGTCTGAAAAGAGAAACAGGATTTATTTCTGTAAAAGAAACCTCATTTTATTTTTAGCTTTGAAACAACATTTTGGATTTGGTAGCGTTTTGAGAATCAATAGAGAATCACAAAGCCTAATAACGCAAAACTCAGGTGTATTTTTACATCCCAATTGCTCATGTGTAAACATTCATGAGTGGAGCATTCATTCATTCCCTGAAACATGTTTTAATAATTTAAGCTAAACAACCGATGACGAAGTGTTGGGAAAAAGTAACATTTGGTTCATAAAACAGAAGAAACTAGACTTGAGGAGTTAGCTTGCTTTATAGTTCTGCATCGATGTTATGGTTAAATACAAGCTGTTATGAAGACAGCTGGATTTACTGAATAAGGGGCATATTGTCCATAAGTTAATAAAGAGATGATTAAAAAACACAACCGTGTTGCCAAGCTGTTACACACAATGTAGGGCCAAGAGCGCTGCTTTAACATCCTCTACACAACAAACCTGAGCCCACAAGCAACTCATATGATGAATACATATAAGAAAAAGAGTCATTTAATATTCATAAAACGCGTTGAAAACATAAAGTGAGGCGCTTCTCTCTCAGAGGCTATACGTCCACCCCTTAGCTGTTTCACATTTTGCTCGAGGTAAACTAATATGTGTCTCTTATAGAACGAGCATATGAGATAAACATGCAGATGTCAGGCCGCTAACAAATGTGAAAACCAATAAGAGAGTTTCAAATTTGATTTGCGGGCTGACTGGGAGTCGGCGATAATGACTTTAGTTTGTTCAAGCCTTCACTTAAGACGGGCGGAGAGAAAAACCCCTGAGGCGAAGAGATTTATTCACAGGAGGGGCACGTCACTTTAAAGAGAATAAAGAACATACTGTTTGTCTATTTATTGTGTTTTATTGGGTGGATAAGTTGCAGAAAATCTGAACAAAACAGAATGCATGCACACTCTCCATGGGGAAAACTGCTGACATGACCTTAAAGCTAAATCAATCACATGTTATAGTAAGTTGTGAAAGTGAAAGCTGAGTTACTTCATGTCCTTTAGAATATATGGATCACTATTTGGCTTTAGCATGTCTCATTTTACCCGTCGGTCTGCTACCAGATGTCACTGTTTGCTCTACTTTCCAGAGTTTGAGTGGAGGCAGTGATACGGCTTATATTAGACGTGTCAGTCAGCGGTGTTTTCATCAGCTGAATCCATGTGGACGCTGCTTCTGTTAGACACCGCGCTGTGCAGAATATAGGAGAGCGGGAGATTGATTTAGTTTGGAGAGACAGTGGGGGGGCTGTAAGCTGTCAGAGCTGCGGAAGGTCTAGAAGTTTTTTCCTTTTTTTTTCTGTGAGGGAACTCGACTTTGCTGAGAGAAATGGATGTTCTCAGCGGCAAGATGG